AATTTGCGACTAAGCTGTAGTCACAAAATAATAGTCGCAAAAAAAAAACACGTGCCAGAGCTCGGAGAATTTTCCCTCACATAACTGTTATGCGCCCAAATTTTAGCCCCAAATAAAACCCAGGAAGTTTTCCTCGAAAGATTTTGCCCCAAGTTTTAGTCCAAAACCTAAGTTTAAACAAAAACCAAAATTTTATGCCTAATCCCAGAAAAATTACATCGACCAAAACCTAATTTTCATCGACCAAAACCAAATCTCCTTCTATCTTCATCCGAAACCCCTTCATCTGAAACCTTAATCCTCTCAATCGACCTTTAATCTCTTCTGCTCTCTCTCAATCGACCTTCAATCTCTTCTCTAAAGTAGTTTCCCCTTCCTTAAATCGACATAATCTCTTCCTTCAATCGACCCCTAAACCCTGTTCTAATCTCAGTCAAAGTTATAATCTCTGATGACTGGCCGTGGACAGAAGAGAGGACGAGGAAGAGGAGGTGCATCTTCTACGCAAGTCAGAACTCCATCCCCTCTGCCAAATCGCTATGATTTTACTCTGGCGAGAACATCCAAATCTCGACCACTTGTCCCCACATGCCGACCATCAATTTCTGTGAGGGATTATCCACCGCCAAATTAACTTTTCCAGAACTCATAGAGTCAACATCGGAGCTCCGAGTATCAACCTCGCAACTTTCCACGGTCTGAAACTCGCACCTCTCCGCCGCCTCAACCCGAAGCTCTACACACTCAAAACCAAGACTCTCCAATGTCTCAAGAACAAACATATCTTGCGTCTGAAGCTAATAACTCTCAAGCGGGTGAAAGATCCACCTTTGAAGAAGAAGATCTCTTCCCAGCCAATCTCGCGGAAGACCAGTTATGAATCCTGAATGCATTGCTCACTCAGCCAGGTAGGGAAGTGTATACGGCAGTCCTCTCTCCCATAAAGAGGCCGAATACAACATGGTATGCCTCTTACTCTCAACTTAGTAGTTTTGTTTAGAATACCTTGTCGGTTGGCTGTTTTGGTTAGTTTAGGATGTTTTGCTTGTGTTTGTGTGAATTTTGTATGCATTTGATATATATTGGTGCATATGCGTGTATATTATGTGATATTGTTCTCGTTTGAAACTTGGGAATGATATATTGTTCACCTTTGTGTCTCTTGTTTTCATATGAGTCATTATTGTAACTGATTACTTGATTTGTTTCTGTGTTTGTAGGTTTGGTCGTGACAAGTCTTCACTGAATCGTAAGATTACCAAATTCGTTACAAACAAGTTTGATGGTCCATTCTATAGCTGGACAGGTGTGCCTTGGGACAGACAGGAACGGTACTTCGTTGAATTTTTGGTAACCACATCAAGGGCTCGGATATCTGAACGTAAGGGTCTTGGTCCTCACATACACTTATCAGGGCAGAAGTCTTATCTACCTTTGTGTCACTTATCATGTCTTATTTCATGCATTTTAGGTCTTTAGGCATTGTTTTAGGACTTAGGGGTTGCATGAGGAATAAATAAGTCTTTGCATGGTTTGGAGTCTTAAACAGGCACTTTTGAGGCTGTTTGGAGCAGAAGAGATGTGACTAAGAGTTGAAATGATAGAGAAAAAGTTCAGAAATGGTGAAAATGGCCTAAAGGATTTCATCGGCATAATTGTGTACCAGAAGGAGCAGTTTTTCTCGGCCAAAATTATGCCCGGCAAGTTTTTCTCGGCCAAAATCGCTATCAGGTGAAGATCTATCGGCTAAACACTTATGCCAAGACGAATTGAGATTTATCGGCTAAAACATTCACCGCGGGAAGGATTTCTCGGCTACACCATTCACCGCGGGAAGGATTTCTCGGCTAAAAAATTCACTCTCAGCTAAAACCCGTTTACCCCGATACGCGGTAAAGATTGCCTGTCCGGGGAGATTTTTTGACCGATTCAGTTGCCAGTGTTTTCAGAAAAGTTGGAGAGGATCGAGTCACGATTCCATAATAGTTTTAATCAGTGGATTCGGATCGGTGAGCTGTGAGTTATGGCCACCGGAAGACACACCTGTCTCGCATACATTCTAGACCGAATCCGATGTACTTCAAAGATCACTTATGAAAATACCATTCCATACCGATTCAGTTTACAAGGCCTTCATAAAGATTCAAGAGCTTCGAGTTTTATTTCCAGAACACTATAGATCAAACGATTTGGATCTCTAAACTGAGAGATAATATTTCCGAAATGAAGACGGGTCTAAATGCCTCTTTCTAGTCGTTCTGATGCACTGTAAAGACTGGCCGTCCGGGAGACCTTCCACTCCCTGGATGCAATTGGTTCTTCACCGAAGTTTGAGCTGGTTTAATGATCTTTCACAAGGATTTGGTTTCATGTCATTTGAAGTTTCGAGCAAAACGATACAGAAGCAGAAAGGCGAGCATGTCAAATCGGGTTCAACTTGTCACTTAATGCAGAATTATGCTAAGTGTTGAGAATGCCACAGGAACAATGCCACGACCTACATCAAGTCATGGCATGATATCAATTTGCTCGGAACTTGGCACGGTCACATTGCCATGGTTCACACTTAGCCGTGGTAGAACTCACATTTGGATGACACGTTAACATGCCACGGTCACTCACCAAGGCGTGGCAATGTCCAAAGATTTTGGCGAATTGCCACGGTTGGAGACAAGCCGTGGCAAACCCATTGTTCTTTAACCAAACCCAGAAAAACATGCCACGGCTACAAGACACTGCATGAACTAAGGCGTGGCAAAGACTTGTTCTTGAGGATTCAACCATCTTCCTTTGACACGTTGAACGTGCCACGGTCTGACCAAGTGGACTTCAGGCGTGGCAAAAGGCTCCTTTTACCCATCAATGCCTGGTCAGGACCCAGTTTGTCATGAGCTGACCCGGTTCGGCCCAAGTAGTATAAAAGCAAACTTGACCTAATTTGGAGACAACTTTTATCTTATCTCATTTTTCCCTTTCCTTTTTAGTGTAAACCTTTGCTTGTTTCAGAGATATCTCTTCTTTTAAATCAAATCAAGAGTGTTTCTTTTGCATCTAATCATTTCTTTTCATCAAATCAAACTTCTAATCATGCTTAACATCACTTCTTGCAAAAGATCAAGTGTGTTAACTATGATTAGTGAGTAAATCCCATATAGATTAGGGTGCTAAGATGTTAGATTAGGAAGTTTAGGGGTTAGATCATGCATCATTCATTCTCTACAAGTTGTTCCCTATGCTAGATCCTTGCACATCACTTGTGGTCTAGATCATAGGCACTTTCATGCACCAAAAATGTTTGTTGAAATGCCTGAACCAAGTTTGTTAGAGGTTTAAGTGTCTTTTATCATGGGAATGATAGTTTGATCACTTAAATGACATATTAAACTGGATCTTAATGCTTGTTAATTCATGCTTCTAAAATGAGAATTTGGTATAAAAGAGGATTAGCATATAAGTTTAATACCTTCATGAGAGGATTATCTTGCTTAATGAGTTTTGTTAAATGGATTTTCTTTATTGATTGTTCATTAGCTCACTAGTCTAGCATAAAAACACCCTAATCAAATGTCATGTCTAGGAACTTTCCTTCATCATATCATATCATTATCATCTTGCTTACTTGTTATTGTTTGTCTCATTTCAATTGATCACTTGTTTAATACTTTTTTTAGTTTCATTTTAAGCATTAGTCACAAATCAAACTCATCATAATGCTTGGATTAAGAATATATCATCATGAACTAGTATCTACCCACATATTTGGATTGATAACCCTTTGTATTACAAATACAAGGGATTGATAACCCCATCTAAAGGCCTAAAAACCTTAGTTATCAATTGGCGCTGTTGCCAAAATGTGGTTCAGCATTAGTTCTTGATACTTTGTTGAGATCAAGTCCTTTCCTTTTGTTTTACTAATTACCTTGCAAGTTCTGTTTTTGTTTTCAGGTGTATGAAAACCAGGTCAAGGTCTAGAAGCTGTGGTCCACCATTTTCTCTAAACGACAACATCAACCTCTTGGTAAAAAGAAGAGCTAGACAGCCAAGGCAAGCAGATCACGCTACTGATATGGAGCACCACGTCGTTGATATTGAACAGCCGGTTCAAGCAGAGCAACAGGATCAAGAGCACGGTCAGGGAGCTAGTATAGGAGTTCAGCAGGGTAATGTGCCGAATCAGCAAGCCAATGTCCACCCGGGACAAGCTTAGGGCCATCAGAATAAGGCACAGCATCCGCAGAACCAGCAAAGGCACCAGGCCAATGCGCAACAACACCAAAGGGCTCAAAGACGTCGAGGACACCAACCAATCTATGTGGGAACCAATGATACAGCCAATGCTCACTAGAACAGAGCTGGTATTGTTTGTCCACCAGTGGAAAACAATAACTTCGAAGTTAAAGCATCATTGATTAATATGGTCCAAAACTCTAAGTTTCATGGACTACCAATGGAAGACCCATTGGACCATATTGATCAGTTTGATAGGGTCTGTAACTTGACCAAGATAAATGGAGTCTCAGAAGATGTTTTTAAGCTGCGGTTGTTTCCCTTCAGCTTGGGAGACAAAGCAAGACAATGGGAGAGGAATCTACCATTTGGGAGCATTCAGACCTGGGAACAATGTAAAGAAGCTTTCCTCACCAAGTTCTTCTCCACAAGCAGGACAGCCCCAATGAGACTTTTGGAGAAGCAAGGGAGATGTTCAGGATATACATCAATCAGTATCCACACCATATATTTTCTGAAGCTTCTCTACTCTCCATACTTTATAGAGGAGCACTACCAAAGATAAGAAACCAATTTGACACAGCCTCCAATGGTAATTTCTTGGCAAAAGAGATTACAGCTGCTATAGAACTTGTGGAGAATCTGCCTATGTCTAATGATACATATGGTGAAGACTATGACAGAGCAAACAGATCAGATGATTTAAGCTCAGAGCAAAAGCTTACTAGAGAAGCTAAAAAGAGCTGAGAAATGAACTTGACAAGCTGAAGATGGTTTCTCAAAAACTAACCCATTATGTTTGTGAATTTGATGAGTCTACAAGCTTTGAGAACATCAATGAAGAAGGTTTAACCCAAGAAGAGTTGAACTACATTGGGAACCAGAACAGGTTCCAAAGGTTCAACAACTTTAATGCCAACAACAACTTGTCTTATAGGAGCACTAATGTAGCAAACCCACAAGATCAAGTGTATCCTTCTCAGCGGAACCAGCAAAATTTTGCCCCTAAGCCTCAGTTTCAAAGTTCTTTTCAGCTAAAGCAACAGTTTGTGCAGCCACAACAGCAGTATGGTCAGCAACAGCAGCAGCATCAGGGTACAAACTTCAGTTCTCGGCCGCAGCACAGCAAGCCTCCACCTGGGTTCAGTCAGCAACAGTTTCAGCAGCCACAAGCGGTTCAACAACAGCAGCAAATGGGTCCAGACCTGTGTGGAGTGTTACAGCAGTTGTTACAAGGACAACAAAGGGTTGAGAGTGGGTTTTCTGATTTGGGTTCCAAGTATGCAGCCATACAACAGGAGATAAGAGATCTGAAGCAGAATCAAGCCTCTACTTCAAGAAGTCAATGAGTTCTACCTGGAAAACCAGAACCAAATCCAAAGGAGTATGCTAATTCCATCACCTTGAGAAGTGGCAAAGAGCTACTAGGTCTAGAACAAAACAGAGTGCTCATTGAGGACAATGAGCAAGTTGGTGGGGAGGCAGCCCCAAAGGATGAGCAAGAGGATGAAGCTTCAAAGAAAGGAAAAGCTAAAGAGGTGGAGAAGAAATCAGAACCTCAGAAGCCTTATGTTCCACCACCTCCTTATCAGTAATATATTCATAAATTGCATCATTTAGTGCACATATTTAAGTCCAAATCATTTCTCATTTGCATACATTTTAGGTCTTTAGGCATTGTTTTAGGACTTTAGAGATTGCATTAGGACCAAGAGAGTTTTGCATGATTTAGAAGTGTTAAACAGGTGCTTATGGAGTTTATTTGGAGTGGAGAATGTGATTCAGATGAAGAAATTGACTTGAAATGATCAAAAATGGTGAAAATGGGCATTATGGAGCTTCTCGGCAAAATGCTGTACTGATGGTCGAAGATTCTCCGCCAAAATCCTTCCTGCGGGTAGATCTCTCGGCCAAAAACACGTACTGACGGTTAAGTTTCTCGGCCAAAAATCTCGGGTGCAGATACATCTCAGAAATCACGTTACCGGAAGGTCTTGCCGTCCGATTCAGCTGTCGGGATCTTCATGAAAGTTGAAGATAATTGAGTTCAAAACCCAGAACAGTTAGAATCCGGGAATTTGGAGCACTGAGCTGAAATATATGGCCACCGGAAGACGCACATGTATCACACTCATTCCGGAGAAATCCGATACGCCTGAAAGACGTAATTACTGGGAAGCCTTCCCCTCCGATTTGGTTTACAGGGTCTTCATCAAAGTTGAATTATATTGAATCACGGATATATAGCAGGTGGAATAATTGGATTTGGAGTTGGGATCAGAGATTTAAGCTCACCGGAAGACGCACCGGTCTCACCACCGTTTTAGACCGACCCGATGAGCTCCAAAGATTGCGAGGGACGATGCACTTACAGACTTACTCAGTTTACAGGGCCTTCATGAAGATTCACGACATTTGAGTCCTATTTCCAGAACGTTTGAGATCATTAAATTTGGAGCTATGAACAAGAAGATAACGTTTCCGGAATTGACACACGTCTAGAAGCCTCTTTCTGATCGTGTCAATGTACTGCAAAGATGATCCCTCCGGGAAACCTTCCACTTCCCAAGTGTCGATAGTTTCTTCACCGAAGTTTGATATATTTGAGTACTCTTTCCATTAAAGTTGAAATCATGCCATTTGGATCTATAACCTGGAAGTTACGCTCTCCTGAATGCGAAGTGGTCCGAGTGCGACTTAGGCATGCGAGATGGCCGAGCAGAGAACTGAACCGCAGAAAGACTCGCGGTTTACACCGACTTGGGCCTGCGACTTGGGACTAAAGATGACCAACTCGCACAAATATTCTCTCCAGAATGCGTCCTGGTTGTGCGAGTTGAAGAGAAGGAAGTCTGAACAGCACAAACACTCGCTGCTTACACCTAGATAGGCATGTGGCTGCGGCTGGAGGATTTAAGGCTAACAAGGCTGTTTCTATGGCTGTGCGACTTGGGCCTGCGACTTGGGAAGCACCTGACCATGTCGCACACTTGAGACATGACCCATTTGAATCCGGGTCAGTACCCAGTTTGTCCTGGGCTGACCCGATTCATAATACTTAGTATAAATAGTTTTTGGGAGAAAAAACACCTTATCTTTTATCTTCCATGCTCTCTTAGTTTTCTTTCCTTTTGAGTGTTAAAAACGAGTTTGTTAAGAGATACCTGAAGGATTTAATCAATCTAAAGCTGTTTCTAATCATCTCATCTTCTTATCTTTGCTTCTAATCATGATTAACATCACCTCTTGCTAAAGATTAGGTGTGCTAATCATGATTAGTTAGTAGAGTTCTTTATAGTCTTTGGGCATGGTAGATTAGGGGATTTTAATGTTTGATAACACCGTATTTTGACCACTTTTATGGATCGTTTTGAAATACTTTCTCTATGTTTTTAATTGCTTTTAAATACTTTTATTACGTTGTTTTTCTAGTATTTGTAGTTCCAAGACTCTTTTCAGGTAACTTTGGGAAAAGCTTAACAAAATGGATAGAAAACCAGATTTCAGCTCAGAGTCAAACCGTCAGAAGTTCACCCCCGATTGAACGCCTTCTCACCGTCTGATCCAGCTCAAATTTGGAGATCTTAAAGATGGAAATATCAGCTTTCCAGCACACTTTACAGCTTGGCAATCCAACGGTTCAATCAAAAGATACGCGAAGAGCAAGATGTCTCGTAAACCAGCCGGCAAGCGTTTCCACCCGCGGCCAACAAGCCATTCTCCACAGTCACAACCACCGCAACCGCGGCCAGCCAACCATTTCCCGCGGTCACGCAGATCCCGACCGCGGCCAGCTAATTCCAACTCCGAAGGCCCATTTCTGAAGCCCATATCATTTTCCCAGCCTTGATTCCGGAACTCTAGACCCTAGAGATGTCTTGAGCACTATAAATACATGTTTTAGGAATCCTAATTCGTATGACCTCATATGTTCTTACTGTTTTAGAATACTTTTTAAGTTTTAGGTTTTAGGGAGAGAGAGATTTGTCTCTTGAACCCTTGTTCTTTCTTTTTCAATTTCGGTTTCTATTCTACTTCTAATATTATGTTTTTGATTTCGTTCATCATGTCTGATTAGTTTTATTGTTGGGTCTAAGGGATTTTCGATGGGGATTTATATGTTTGGTGAGGATTCCATGAGCTTTTGAGCCGAATCTTAGAACTTTTTCTTCTGAATTCGTTTTTACTGCATGAGAGTAGCGTCATGAACTACAATCTGATCCAGATGCTAGGTGACACGAAAGAGTTCATCCGGTGTCAGATCTAGTTTGGGAGAGCAACACAAACATAGGAGTGGAAACCTACCTATGGGCGATTTGTGAATGCTGACGAGTCTTAAACATAATGCATCTCTTCTTTTCCAGGGCCAGAGTGGAAACCTACTGGTCAGGGTTGAGAGAGATAGTTGTCTATGATCACGACAATGGCGTATTCATACGTCCGTGACTCCAGTTCGAAAAGTTTAAGCTAAGATCTTATCAAATTTACTCTCTAGCAATGTTTTGAATCGTTCATACCCCTGAGAAAACTTCCCTGAACCCAGCGCCTCTTTTCTTATAGATTTACACCGATTTTCATTCAAGCTTTAGTCTAGTATCTTTACTCTTTCAATCGATTTTCATTTAAGCAATTAGGTTAGCCGTTTTCCTCATTTTTACCCGTTTTCGTTAAGTTTAGTTATTATGTCATTTTAATTCCCGTATATTCTCTTTAAGATTCGTTTTTTACGTTTTAAACACACCACCAAAACCCTCACAAAACTCGCCTGGTTCTAGACTTCCTTACTTTATATTTCTTTTGAAGGCTTTTGCAGGTAAGATCCTCCTTCCCTGTGGATTCGATCCCTAAGTACTACAATCGATCAGTTGTGCACTTGCGGCTATTGATTTCATTTAGGGTAAAACTTGACACCCTCACAAACGACCACATCAATGTTAAATCTTTGATGTCTAGGTCTTAATCCATAGTTTCCTTTCTTGTTTAGTGTTCTTAATGCTTGACTAGGCTAGAAATAGTTAATCAAAGGTCTTAGGGAATTTCATGAACACAAGGTGTTTGATGAAATTCCCCAAAGAACTAAGCAAGAGTTTTTCATGATTAGCCTATGAGAATGGATGTCTAATGTGCTTAATTAGTTAATGGAACTTGTTTAGAATGATTTTGATTGCTAATTTTACTAATTAGAGTTAGTTCTTGAATTTAGTAATTAACAAAGTGATTAGTGCCTTGAGAGAGGATTAGTCAAAAATAGAGTTCTAGACTTAAGGATGAGCACTTTTGTGAGTTTGTAGACATCATGGGTTATCATTAAACATCCCCTAATCAATTACCTTGCCCAGAGACTTGCTTTTTATTGGTTGATATTTGAATTTTCGTCATTGACTTTTGTTGACTTTTTATGTTGACTTTTAAGTTGACTTTTGTTGACCTCTTCTATATTTGCTTTTTTGTTTATTGTTAATCTTGTTTGAGTTTTTGATTGCTTATTTTAATCATTTTTCAGTAGTTAATCAAACCAAAACCCCTGATTTACTTAGCTTAAGTAATTTTTTGTATTCTTGGTGTGTTAATCTTAATGCCTTTGGATTGATACCTTAATATGACAATGACATGAGCATATTAAGGAATTGATTTAGAAAAAAAATTCCTTTATCAATTTGGCGCCGTTGCCATGGGGATTTTGCATTAGCCATTAGGATTTAGATTCTACTTGAGACTAAGCTTTTATTTTTACCTTGTTTCCTCATCTTTTAGTGCACATATTTAAGTCCAAATCATGTCTCATTTGCATACATTTTAGGTCTTTAGGCATTTTTTTAGGACTTTAGAGATTGCATTAGGTCTAAGAGAGTTTTGCATGGTTTAGAAGTGTTAAACAGGTGCTTATGGAGTTTATTTGGAGTGGAGAATTTGAATCAGATGAAGAAATTGACTTGAAATGATCAAAAATGGTGAAAAATGGACATTATAGAGCTTCTCAGCCAAAATCCTTCCTGCGGGTAGATCTCTCGGCCAAAAACACGTACTGGCGGTTAAGTTTCTCGGCCAAAAATCTCGGATGCAGATACATCTCAGAAATCACGTTATTGGAAGGTCTTGCCGTCCGATTTAGCTGTCGGGGTCTTCATTAACGTTGAAGATAATTGAGTGAAAAACCCAGAACAGTTCGAATCAGGGCATTTGGAGCACTGAGATGAAATATATGGCCACCGGAAGACGAACATGTCTCGCACTTATTTCGGAGAAATCCGATACGCCTCAAAGATGTCGTTACTGGGAAGCCTTCCCCTCCGATTTGGTTTACAGGGTCTTCATCAAAGTTGTATTATATTGAATCACGGATCTATATCAGATGGAAAATTTGGATTTGGAGTTTGGATCAGAGATTTAAGCTCACCGGAAGACATACCTGTCTCGCCACAGTTTTAGACCGACCCGATGAGCTCCAAAGATTGTAAGGGACGATACACTTCCAGACCGATTCAGTTTACAGGGCCTTCATGAAGATTCACTATATTTGAGTCCTATTTCTAGAACGTTTGAGATCATTAAATTTAGAGCTATGAGCAAGAAGATAACGTTTCCGGAATGGACA